AGTTCACTTTTTTTTCTTTTTTTTTTTACTTCAAGCTATTTCAGCAGAGTTGCTTGTTTATTAATTTCTCCAAAGATGAAACTTAGCCATGACATAATAAAGCCGCTGGTTATGGAAATGTGGCGGCATGGCTCAAGAAGGTGCAACTGGTGGCAAGACTACAGAAAATAGAAGACATAGCAAGCATTTTACCTTTTATATCTGGGAGGGAGATGCACTCCAACTATTTGGAAATGGATGAGGATCAGCAGACAAACATTGAAGCCTGGTTGAAGGAGGCTTTTTCGGAAAGGGTGTTCTCTGCTTATGCAAAGCTTAAATTAGTTAGGTGAGCAGGAGAGCATGTTTATGCCAACAAAATATAACTTGCAGGAATGGCAGGTTTCACTGGGTGCAGTTTTGATACGGTAATGAAGTTGGCATGATGGGGTCCCCCAATGACATTTCAGAGTTGCAACAAGCACCGGCCATCAAAACATTGACTATAGGAGACTTGCTGACACAGGCAAGGGTGTTGACAAGATATGGCTGAATATATGGTCACATCCACCTCAAAAGCAAATCCCCAAACAGGCATCACTTGTTACAACCCAGTGGAACAAGGACCCGGAGATTGCGCCAGGAGATGCATTGCTTCAAGTACAATAAGTTCGGCCACTTTGCATCAGAGTGCCAGGGAAATAGCTTGGGGGGGAGACAGGCACCAGTATCCTCCCCCAAACAAAAAAAAAAAAAAAAAAAAAAAAAAAAGGAGGTGCATCCTGTCATCTGCATGCTTGTTGACATTTAAATGCATGGCCCTAGGCAACAATGGCTGTTCCAAGACACTGATGAGTAAATCAGCATACCACTAGTGGAGACACCAGGTCATTGAAGTGTTAACTGCAGATGGAAAAATTACAAACCAGCCAAGTTGAGCATGCACCCTTTGCACCTGGAGATCCTAGATGTCAAAGAAAGCTGCTAGGTTTCGACTGCCTACTGGGATTTGATGGTACCAAGAAGCTTGGGGGGGGGGTGCATCTGACCAAATCGGGTGAGGTTCATTTCCTTGGAAAACTTACCCAGGTGTGGCATGATCAAGATCAATGAACCAGACTTTAGCACCATATTCGACCAGTGGATGAAGGAGTGAACTGCCTAATAGAAATGGGTAGGTGGTCAAATGTCAAAACAACTAAAAAATCAAGTCTTGGAGTACCCTATGTCCAGGCATATCCAGATAGCACACGAAAAGGAGCTGGAGTCATGGCTGGAATATGGTTGGCTGGTGTCATACCCTGAAAAGGATCTAGGTTCAGCTAAGGCCTTAATTCTGTTAATGGTGATAGTCCAAGCAAACAAGAGCAAAGTGCAAACTGTCATGGACTTCAGGGAGCTCAATGGCTTTGTTGATACCTTTATGTCAAACACTGATTATGTGCACAGAATTTACAGGTATCACAGCATGAGCAAACTGATGTTGCCATATTGGACCTGAGGAGGACATACCTTCAAGTACATGTACACAAATCACTGTGGCCCTATCAAACAGTAATGTTACAGGGGCAGAGGTATTGCCTCACGTGACTGATTTGGTTTGAACGTTGCAATGATGATAATGCGATCCATTACGGGCTCACATCATTATATGTTAACATTTGTCAATCACCGCCTAGCGGCCACTGATCAAATAAAAGAACACCTGGCAAAATTTGGCCTGGCTTGCAAATTTCCCAAGCAACTTAAAGACAGGGTACAAGTGCTCGGGCTGCAAATTCAAAACGATGGCAGCAGACTATGATGGCAGCAGACTATGCTGGCACAAGGAGGAGACACCGAGGAGTCCGATCTGTTATAATGTAGCAGACATCTCGGTGTGGAAAAACTTGTTGGTTGTTTTCCTGTTCACGGATGGCTCCACATGGCGACAGCATATATGAACCATCATGCCAACAAGGTTACGAATGGCTGGTATGACAAAACGAACAAGACACTCCCCCTTACCCCAAAGGAGCATTCCCGTGAGGCAATTGATGTGGAAACGAAAGCGAATTCAGCTTGGATGGACACAAGCTCTCTTGCTACTGGGGGCACACTGGAAGCCAACAGATGAGTCACTGAAGTGTCCTGGCTACACCTGGCAAATAACATGTAATACATTAACCTGGCAGAGCTCAACAGGGAGTTAACCTAGTGCTACATCTAGCATGTGTATGCTGCTTCTGTAAATTGGCTGAGCATTCAGTAAATAGTACATGTCCATCAACAGAGCAGAAACATACATTATGCTTTGCCAAACAGAGAGACCTGTTTCAAAAGCTGACATACAAGTAGCAGTGAAGACGAGTGAGGCATGCCAGTCAATTGATCCTACCCTTGCAAACTGGCAAAAAGAGAAGCTTGACGTAAAAGACAGTTGGAGCAGGTTAGCAGTGGACATCATTCATCACAACAGTGGCCACTATCTGACACTTATTGATTGCAGTCCCTCACAATTTGTCATCTGGTGCCTGCCAAGTCAACAGGAGTTGGTAAGTGTTGTACATCAGAGGAGTCCATATTTTATGAACTTGGCCCACCAGTTGAGATCCAACTGACACATGCATCACATTTACCAGCCAACAATTTCGGCAGTTCCTGCATTTGGCGTGCCTATGAACCAGCAGGAAATAGTATAGTCGAGAGAAACCACAGAAGTATAAAAACCATTGTGACTAGGAAACAATGTTCCATACCAGAGGTGGTCTACTGGCATAACATCATACCAAAGGACAGCGTCTCAACCTCCACAGCGCCAGCCTACATTATACACACCTACACTGTCCGGATACAGGATATTAATCCAGTGGCTACCCCCGAACCACAAGATGACCAGGGACAGTTCCAAGTGGGTGATACTGTATGGGTCAGAATCCTGCACAGAATCAACAGTCCCCACTTCGTGCTTGTTGATTGATATAAAAAACTTTCACCCTTGTTCGGGAGCACATATGCCATTTAAGAACACCAGTGACCCATCAGAAGAAAGTGAACTGTTGGAAAGGCTAAGGTCGGTATCACTAGACAATACCTAACACCAGTGGCCTGGAAACTGCTGATGATAATGAACAACTTGACGACTGTCTTGGATGTAGCTCCCTGACTCTCAAGGAACTGCCAGATAAATAGGAGCCCACCCAGCTTCACTTTTTGTGATGAGGACCTCAGGGGAGAATGTAACAAAGCAGTTGCTGAGAGAGGTCATGGTTCGCCTGCCACAAAAGAAATTTACATGGCATCATGCATTGTTTGTAGCCATAGGTAGAGTTGATTTTGATGCGTTTCAAACCTGAGTCTTGCATTAACCAGTTGAGGTTGATTTATCAGAATAATAGAACGATCAAGATTGACACTAGCATTTTGGAGAAAGCTGTTCTTAACAGCGTTTTTTAAAGGAGAAAAAATTGAAACATGAGAGTGTTTCTTTCTGTTTTCTATTTTAGTTCATTTTCTTTTTACTTCAATTTTATTAAAGACCCCATAGAATAACTTTAGATAAACAGCCACTTATGCTGTCAGCACATCAAAGCCTTAAGAAGAAAAAAAAAATTTCTGCAATATTTTAAACTTAAAGTAAATATGTTTCAAATTAGATTAATTATACTTTAAATCAGCTAATATTCCTCAAGTTTCAGAAAACTATTTTATTTTTGGAAGATTTTTAATAAAGGGAATTACATTGTGATAACACAGATCACTAAAAATGGCACCACAAACAAATTTCAAAAACTCCTGCCAATCAATTTAAATTAGTTTTGAAATACAAAGAATTTTTCTTATAAAGAATATCAAATTTAATCTGTTAGCTTGAAATTAAAATAAAAGCTTCAAGATTTTCATTTTTAAAAATTAATTTTAAACCTTAGGTATCGCAAATCTGTGGAGGTACCTATTTTAACAATTATTCAAGTTAAAACAGGACTATTATTAAAGTTAGGTTAAAGAAAAAAATTTTATTCACAATCTTCCTTTGAAAATATGCAAATTTAAATATTAAGTTAATCTCTTTAAACAAACTTGTTCACTTCAGATTTTAAGTCGTAATTCTTTTTGCCTATAAGAAACTTCAAATATAGCCTTTGAAAGAGAGCTTTAAGAGTTAAAGGAAAAATAATCAGTTGAATAAATACTGCACATTCAGTACCTAGCTGCTCTGAATTTGGCATCATCTTGGTAGTAAAATATACAAATTGCTATTTTATGAATAAAAAAAATATATATTTTAAGATTCTAAGTAAAAATTTAAGTATTGTCCCCATCTAAACATACAAGATTCACTAGACATGAAGTTATGAAATTTAGATCAATAGTTACAGTTCAAGGCTAATGAAGACTTGAACCCCCTGGCATCTCTGCACAAGCCTAAAAATAAGAAAAAAAAGCAGTAATTATTGAACACTAATTTCTGTCCACATTCTTTCATTAGGTTGGAAAGAAAGTTAATTTTTATGGTGCATTTTTATACAAAATCCAAAAGACTTAACTGAAATTCACTTTTATCTTCGAGTGTTATAAAAGAATTGGAAATTGCACACAAACAAGTAAATTTAATAAGTTCAACCAAGAAAAACTATAAGAATTTATCTCTAAGACTACCTTAAATATACTACTGTTTGTGTCTCACAAAATCTTCAACTACTAATTTTGATCAATAACTTAAGTTATGAGAAAAGTATGACCAAATATGATTTTGCAAAGCATTTTATAAGAGAGGGAAAGTAAACTAAATACAAAAAATGCCTACAATTCTTTAAAATCATAGAAATTGGAGATTGATAAACTCTTCAAGATAAGGAAAGGAAAAAAGTATGTTAACTTGAAAACATTAAATAAATTAAATTAAAGGGAGAATCCAGATGATTTCAAAGAATTTGGGACTTAACAGCGCCAATTAAACTACACATGAAATGGCTTTCTTTCCAACTTAATAAAAAAATAAGTCAAGAGAGTGGAGGAGAGAATAAGAAAATTTTACTTACCTTCCTAAAATATCATTAAATCTTGGATCCAAATCTATTTGGTATTTCTCTATGTAGCCATAGAGGTCATCTGTTCCTAAAACCTTGGCTATGCGAACCAGCTGAAGGAAAACAATAACTATATTTAGATCACAAAACTGAGATGAGTGACTAAGTGGTTTGTTTTATGGAATTTCTTGATTAAAATATGAAAAATAATGACTTCAGACTTTTTTTAATACTTTCCTTTTTATGACCAATTTTCTTTAAGAGGATAAGCATCTTTGACAATTCTACATAAGAATTTAAAAACAAAACAAAAAAAACAGTAAATTCTTCTAGTTACAAAATGTATATGAGCAATGCCATAAAACCACTCAATTGTTTTCAGAAAATAATTACTACAAATTTAAATCCATAAAATGACTTAAATTAACAATATGAATCCCTAAGGATTGTGTGAATGTTTGGACAACTTATCTATTATTCATTTTTTATTAGTATTTCTTTCATCTTAATTTTAGTTGCTTTTCATCAACTACACAGACTCATTCCACAACAATCAGTAAACTGCACAGACCAGAAATAAGGAATAAGCTAGTTGCATTTATTCAATCTGCAGTTTACAAGAAGGTGTAAAATGACAATTTGAGTACTTTTTATAAGTAACTAAAATTAAGATGAAATAATTACTAGTTGCTAAAAAGATTCAAGGTAATCACTTACCCACAGAAAAGTCTGAAGTTGTTGTATATCCCTTAAAACTTTCTCCACTTTAATTTGAGTTAAATTTTTATCCTAACCCATCTGTTTAAAGCTATTACAAAAAACAAAAAACCTGAAGGATTTTTTGTTTTAAAGAAGTGCAATCATGAAGGTGTTTAATGGTACACTGACTCCTATATAAAAATAACATCAAATTCAAACATACCACAAAGAAAGTAATGAACAGAATAGGTCAATTTTGAAACTGCAACAAGCATTACCCCAAGAGTTACAAATTAATGTAAAGAATTACTACACAAAATATTTTTCTTCAAAATTTAGTCTTTTTTTTTGTTTTTATTTTTTGAGGAAACGTATTTAAAGACAAAATTAATCATGAGTTCTGTCATATCGGTATTACCAGAAACAAGCACAGATCAAATTAAAACCAGGTTTTAAAGAAAACAAAAGAAAATACTTTTAATAATAGTATTTTTAATTGTAATATCCATACTGTTCTTGATAAATTGAATAAAAATTTTAGAAATAAAACAGTAAAATATTTAATTTAAAATACAAATAACTACTCACGAATGCAGTTTTATTTTTATTCAATGATTTCTTTCCGTGTTCACCAGTTGGAATTATCTCCCTTTATATTTTTTTTATGCAGTTCGTTTTTCTCATACACTTCATTTACTAATACAAACATAATTATATCTATTGTATTTTATATTAAACTATATTTAATTATTTAAAAAAAAGATTTTAATAATCATTGTAATTTGGTTTTATTCTCCCAGCTATTAACAAGGCTGTTCACGTGCTTATCTAGCAACATTTATTCTGTTTACATTTGCAATTTCTACCCACAGTAATGATGCCAGAAAATTTTCTGGTCCACCTTCAGAGTTAGATAGAACACAGCCCCCAATTTTTTGACAAGTTATTCAATACTGTTACACTCCTAGAGAAAAATTTACAGAGAAATCTACACCATTTGTTGTTCCTTGCATCAAAATTAACTTCCCTTCAAGCTCTTTTCAGGTATATTGATGGTATGACAAAGCCCTACATCATTCAATGGTCCACTAGGTATATTGTATGGAAATGATTATGATTCAAAACATTCAAAAACATACAGCATTATGCTTTTGCCTTATTGATGGTACAAAGCTGGGGTTGCCAGATTTGCTTTCACAATCTCAGTGTTGAATGAGCAGTCAAATTAACAACAAAAGCTTTTCAATCAGTGTATTCCTTTGAAGCAAGGCACAAGCACATAATTACAAAAATTTTGTGCCATAAAATGAGGCCTTCCTTTTCTTTTTAAAGGCTCTTACATGAAGCAATTTGATACTATATGTTATGCAATAGTGACCATTATTTGTAACAGTCAAAGTTAATAGTTAGGTTATTTTTGTTCTTACATTTGTTTTTAACTATTAATGTACAAAATTTAAATTTAAGATTGACAGTTATTAAAAGAAAGATTTTTTGTTTAGTTTTCATTTTTAAATCTCCCTAATAGGTTTTTCAAGGGATGTTCAAATTAAAATTGTTGTTTTTAAAAATGATACCCTAATTTATGTCCAACAACATCCATTTGTTTTTATCATCCATAAAAAAAAAAAAAAAAAAAATGTTTTCTTTTCAATCTTTCAAAATGTATTTACTGTTATTGTTTAATCATTAAAAAAAAAAAAAAAAAAAAAATATTAGCATATTGAAGGTGCCGTGACAGGAGCTTGGGGGAGGGGTGCTTAGTGACATTTTAAATTTAAATCCTCGTTATATTTTTTCATTGATAAAATGAAAAGTGCATTTTTGCATACAATCTTTAATGCTATCTGAGAGATCTAGTTTTTGATATCAGTATTTATTATATCAATACACAACTCTTTATGCTTCGTGCAATTTGATATTTTGAAAAAAAGGGGGGGGTCAACCTACCCTACAAATGAAGTACCTAGAGATCTGCAAAGCAGAATAGTTTAACTATATTTTGCTATCTGATCATTCTATTTTTCCAAAATTTGCCTTACATCCCTTAAACAATGCATGTTCTTACCTGATCATAATTATCATGACCATGAAAGAAAGGCTCTTTTCTGAATATCATACTGGCAAACATACAACCTAAACTCCACATGTCCAGAGAATAGTCATACATCTGCAATAAATAAGTACAAGATTTTAAATGCAACAAGATGGGGTGGAAGTGTGGAAAAGGGAAAAAAAAAAAAAAAAAAACACCTAGGAAAGTTATGATCCCCATTATCTTTAAAGGCAGAGGTTATTTTATGGTAAATTTCCTCAAACATTAATTATCCCAAAAAAGATCACCACATTCACAATATGAATTTTAGCTTGTACAAGTGTTTTTAATGATAAAGTGGTTTGCTTTCTTAATTTTTTTTATATAAACATTTTAATACATGTGCAAAAATGGTAATTCAGTGAACTTAATTTTACAAATACAGATTTTAAAGATTATATAAAAAAAAAAAAAAAAAAAAAAAAAAAAAAATGGATGAAGTATACAAGTTCTTTCTGAATAATCTGAACATATTTGAATATTTTCTTCACTTAAGACTTATAATCAACTTTATTCATTAGAAGTATCAAGCACATGAAAAGCAGTTACCTGGTAATCCAATAAAAGCTCAGGACCTTTGAAATATCGTGAAGCAACTCTTACATTGTACTCCATTCCTGGATGATAAAATTCTGCTAAACCCCAATCAATTAAACGGAGCTAAAATTAAATAATTAAATTTCATTTGTATGTAGAATTTCAACATTAAAATTACCCAAATCTACATCTATATTTTATTGGGTTAATACATTTATTTAGCTAGCATGAACAGAGACTGAAAATATACTTAATAGTCATAGGACAAATGAAAAGTAATTCATATTTTATGGATACTAAAAGTTTTTATGGTAATATTTTAACATGGCTAAATCAAAGGTTCTTAAAAAGCATTAATAAAAAAACTTATAATTTCACTTAAGTTATCTGCTTGTATAGCATACATGGCAAAGAAAATTCTTAAACTGAAAAACAAAACAAACATTGAATACATAAACAAATGACAGAAAAATATGACTTAACTACATTAGAAGACAAAGGATACAATAGATATTCAAATACTATTTGATTAGTTTGATGATAAACTTGTCAGGTCAATATTTCAGTTGTATCAGCATAAATTAATTTTCATTTAAGATTTGATAAATGTATAACTGAAGCATAGTCAAATATTCCAACTTACCTTCCTGTTTTCATGATCTATCATGACATTGTGAGGCTTAACATCTCTGTGCATAATACCCATACTATGACAATAGTCTAGAGCCTGGAGATAAAAAAAAAAAAAAAAAAAAAATCATGGATACACCAATCACAAGTTTAAATTTAGTAAAGATACATATAGAATTTTATACACTTGGGCAGATTTTAATGAAGGCGAGAACCACTGTAACAAAAACAGAAAACCTACTGAAAATTTCATCTTCATTAGACTCTTGATTCAAAAGTTACCTCTTGATATTTGCTTGGAATTTCATGTCACACAAGTATAATTTGCCATCTTTGACATTGAGAAATTCTGCATTAAAACATCTAGACCCTGTTGCATCTTGGTTTTACTTGATATTTTAGAAAAAAAAAAAAAAAATTTAGATATCATTAAAATTAGAAAATCCTCCCAGCAATTCCCAAAAGTTGCTTCCATTGGTTTGTTGTCATGTAAAGTCCAACATTTTTAAAGCCTTTGTATAATTTAAAAAATTTTAAGCAAACCCTAACACCAAAAATTGGTACAAGAAGTAAATTTAAGTTAAGGAATTCAAAAAGCACTATTAAAAAAAATCTCAAAAGCAATCAATTTTGAATTATGATTTCTGGTATTTTTCACTTTCCAAAGACATGGGGGGTTCTGGGTCATGCAGCCAGGTACTTATGAGATAAATGAATATTTTAAATTCTTATACATAATAAACATCATCAGAGTCCATAATAAAGCTTAATTCTGTCAAAAAACTAAATAAAAACTAACCATTTTATGTGGATCCTCTCAAAAAAATTTTTTAAAAATAAAAAATTCCAGCAATACTATTTCGAGAATTTAAAAAAAAAAAAAAAAAAAAAAAAAAATCATTTTGGTCTCAGATTAAGTTTATTATCTATAAAAATGTACCTAACCACAGGTCTTTCTCACACCTTGACACTAGTGTCTAAAACTTCAAAAATTATACATAGGGTTCCAAAATGGTGGATTTTACTTCATGACTCACCAACTGGGCTACATTTACACCTCCCAACACTTTTTTTTTTTAATGATTTCATGGATTTAACCTTATATAAAAGATATCTAACTGAAATTTGTTTTCATGTAGCCTGATACATAAAAACGTATCTAATTTTATTTCCATTTTATTCCATATAGTTTTATAATACACTTCAAAATGGGTGCAAATTGCTCTGTAGCATTATTAGGCATGTATTTTACTGCAGAAACTAAATAAAGAGTAATAAAATAAAATTCTACTTGTTTATAATCATTTTATATACTGCATTATGCAAAAACACAAACTTGCAACATAAAATTGAAGCAAATTTCAAGAGGACATGACTTCTGAAATAGGAGCCTGATGAAGGTCAGGTCTTCCATTTCTCTGGAGAAAGTATTAACTGAGATTTCAGCAAAGTAGATGTTGGCCATAGGAAATTTTGAAATATTGTTGAGTTGTTATGGAAAGATATGTATAAAAGAGAAGTTATTTGCATAACAGAAGTGAAAATGAATTATAGCATAATTTTTCATAAATAAACCATTTACAACTTTCCCTTTTTTAAATTATTGATATTAACATACAAATCAAAAGCTAATGAAAATGATTCACAAATGTAATGAGTATCTTAAAAGTATATTTATATGGTGATATACCAATTGAAAAAATTTTCATATAATAGTAAATAAAATTAAGTATCAATCAAAATTATATCTTATTTGTACTTAGCTGTTTTGAGAGTTTAAGTTCTGGTCTATCAATATTGGAAAGGTATCTTTCAGAGAAATTAGTATATTGCAAATGAATGGTAAAATTAATCCAATAATTTCTCAAAGCAAATCTTATAAAAAATATTTGAACAATAACTATATTACAAAAACTGTTTGTACCTTATTTTTAAGCCAATTTTGGCAATCATTAACCCAGAAAGATCACTATTCTGTCTTTTTTAAAATTATAACATTTTATATTGGTTAATGAGCAAGATTAAAGACTTACCTTTAAGAGTTCAAACATATAGAACCGGATGTCATAGTCCGTAAAAGTCTGATATAATTGCTATACATAAACAAAAAGAGAGAGACTGAATGATAATATCCTCTATTAAATCATTACTTTAAAAATTTCTATTGAATATTGGAAAAAGCTTAACTATTTCCAATCAGTTTTACTGTTAACAATATGGATAGAAGAGAGTCTCACTTTTATACTAATTTCAATATTATATACAGTGATGTGCCAAAAGTCATAAGTGGCAGTACAAATGTAAAATAGTAGGTTGTAGCACTGTATCTTGACATCATGGAAATGTCCAGACCTCTATCAACTGTGTTTTGGTAAGTCAGTGTAAACACTGGCTAAGCTGCTTATAGCAGAGTGAGATGAATTAACAGTTTGAATTGGGCATGATAGTGGGTACCAGACAGATAGGAAAATGTATTTTCTGTAGTTGAGAGGACATTTGACACCCCTCGATGTAGGACATCACATTTGTACAGGAAATACACATTGAAAGTAATGACTGCAATAAGAAACAAGCAACACTGGTTCAAATCCCATTCAATGCAGGAGGCACCGTATGCATATCCAGCAATTTAGTTCAGTGTTCTTTAATTTTCATGATATTAGGAACAAAAGACAACAGAGTTCCCTTGTTGACACCAGACACATCCAACTTGAGCTCATGATATTGCTAATTGGAGCCTGAGGCCCTGGCAACATGTGACATGCCCCAATGAGTTAGAATTCAAATTGCTTGGGATTGATAGGAGGATTTGAGTGTGGCATAGACCCAATAAGGTTGTGAAGCAGAGTTGGTAGTGATTCTATAATGGCGTGATGTGTGTTCTTGTGGCATGGGATGGCTAGATTGGTCTGCTTAAACATGTCAAGACTGGCAATAGCTATGTTGCGCTGTTTCATGACCATTTGTACTTATTCATAAACTCCATGCAACCCAACAACAATGGGTTGCTCTAGAAAGATAGTTCATCAGGTCACAGGGTCCAACTTGCCTAGAATAGGTTTGAGGAGCATTTTGGAGATTTTCAATCAGCTGTGTGGTCATTACAGTTGCCTGACATGAGCCCAGTTATGCATTTATGAGTAGAGCTGTATATTTGTACACAAAATCATGAACCTACAAATACCAGGAAGCTGTAGACAGCTTGAGTCGACATATCTCAACATCTCTCCAGACCACTCATAAACTTGATGCCATATCAAGTTCAGACTCTTGGAGGACTGACACAATACTAGGGATTTATTCCATGACTTTTCACACATCGGCCTATATCTAGTTCAAACATCAAAAAATGAATGTACTCATTATGGATTGTCAAACTTTTGAAAAATCTAAAACAGGAATGATTTCTAAATGTGTATAATTTCAACAATTCTAACAAAAAGTTATTAGAATCAAATAAAGATTAAAAAATAGAAATTATCAAAATTTACTGTTTTATAGTTTTTCAGGCCAATGTTAAAAGGTTTTTTGTTTGTTTTTTATGCACAAAATAATGATCATACAAATTCAATAAAGAAATTATGATTTTTTTTTTTTTTAAATGAGAAAATTAATCAAAACAATGATTTTATTAAAAAGGAACCCTAAAAATTGATTTTCACAAAAAACTACTTTATTAATTTTATTTTTTTTTTTAAACTATTTTAGTGATATATCAACTACACATTTTTTATCTCCATTTTAGTGCCATAAAATGAGTATATACATTAATGATAAATCTAACCTGCAAAATATTTGGTGTTATTTTCATATGCATCTTTAAAATATATTCTCTTCTACAAAATTGAAATCTAAATTATGTGAAATATTTTAACAGCTATTCACAAATGAATGATTTATACCAAGTAACTGTAGCAACATTTTCAGATTCTATCTTTTACAAGTTGTGTCAGGTCTTGAATATTGGAAAATAGAAGCAAAAACAGTTAAATATTAGTTATTACAAATTTTCTTATAATGTTGATTTTTACATTAAAATTAAAATGCAAGTAGAGAAATACATTCTGTGCATTTACCTTAAAGTCTGTGTTGTTGACATGTTCAAATACAAGGGCTGGTATTCTGGACTATGAAAAATACAAATTACAAAAGCATAATCAAAAGCAATTATGGTCAGAAAATAAGCCATAACTAGCAATTATAAACATAGAATATTTTATTTAAAAACTTTCTTAAAAGGTGAAATGAATAATTCATTCAACCCATCCCCCAAAAAAACAATGATGATTAACAAGCCATTTATCCTATTCTAGTTACATTTTGGCATTTAAGATTTCAGATTTTACTGATATACAATATGCTTATTGGCTAAAAGCACAATATTTAAAGTGATTAAATCTTGTGAGCTAAACAAAGAAATTTATTTAAAAAAAAAAAAAAAAAAAAAAAAAAAAAAAAAATCTCTTATAGTTTATGTAACAATACAAATTTCTCACTCATCCTTAGGCAATAAAAAGAAAATCTACTTAAGTCCACTTAATTACCTGAGTTTCTTAGGAATTTCGTCTCCAGCCCATCTTTGAGTCAACTTAATTGCCGGAGTTTTCAGATTCCTGTCTCCAGCCTGCCTTTGAATTGGCAAACATAAAATTTTGTCAATGATTTTTAGATAATCATAAAAGTAGTCCTTTGAAGAAGCTGACCACCCATCCAGCTTTTTGGATGGCGTACTTTTCCAGAACACAAGCAGATGGATAAGGGGGTGGTACCCCAGCCAGTATCCATATAAGCAGCGAGAGGCAGAAAGTCAAGAGTGAGTAGAGGACCAGTAGCCAGTGAGGAAGGGACCAGTGTACAGTGAGAAACTAGCAGTCACTTGGACGGTCCTCATTCCGTGGAAGTTAGTAACATAGCAGTTTACCACCTCACCACCTGGGGAATTAGGAGAAAGGAAGAATACTACGGTTAAGCAAGAAATCATATTGTTGCTATTTTCCAACCAGTGTCTTGAAAAGTATTTTTCAAGAGTTTTTTGTTGAATATGATCACGGCCAAGGAGAAAAGACTGAACATAGCGAGTATGTATATGCAGACATGACCGACCTTGAATGTCACCCCAGGCTGTGCAGTGTTTATGTGCAGACTATGTTGTCACACTTATATGGGCTCAGGAATACTTTTTCGTAACTTAAAATTTGAACGAGGAAGTTAAAATAAAGTATTTCAAAGTGTAACTGAGTAACTCTTGTTAGTTTTTTGCAGTGTGAGTACAAATTAAAACAAGTTAACCCATTAAAGAAATTTTAAAACTTTTACTATCCTCTATACATGATATTTTAGAGTAGTCAATTCAGAAAATTATAAAGTGTAACATTTTAATTTATGTTAAATACTATTTGCTAATTATTCAGTAAAAATGTCAGTTTTTCAATTTTTGTTTTTAATACACAAATATGGAAACCCTCGGGTTTTATAATTTGTACAAGTTAAAGTTGACAGAGTCACAATCAGGAAACAGGACTAACTTTTTCATCATCACAGAACTGTTCCCCAAAAATTAGGTAGAAGGTTAATGAGTGTTGAATAAGTTGAGTAATTGGTTGTTCTGGGACTTGAGAATTATGTTAAGAATTAATTGCTTTATGAGAGTTGTATGTTGAGGGGATGGAGATTTGGAAGCATAAAAATATCCCAGTGACTGTAGCAAAGAAGCCACTGCATTAAAATGTAAAAGAAAAAAATTTCATGGTCAGTCTTTTCCAGCAGACAGGGACAATAGCTGAATCAGAGAGGTAGCATTGAGTAAAAAGATAGTTTTCTAAAGAGAAACAGAATCACTCCTATTTGCAACACAGAGCAGGCCATACGATTGAATGCAATCAATGCCATGATAAACAGATCGCAAAAAGAAAGCAAATACAGGATGTGTGGACAAATTGATGGGACAGTTAACCACATATCTGTTGAATGTCCCAAGCTGGCACAGAAAGAGTATAAGCAATGACATTAGATTGGTAAGAGAATACCTTGGGAAATGTGCTGTAAGTTTGGCTTCAGTGTAAAGGAAAAGTTGTATGAATATCAACCAGAAGTAGTAATAGAAAATGGCAGTTACAAGATATCTGTCCAAACTGATCACATAATTGAAGCACAAACACCCAATCTTATGGTTATAGATAAGAAGAATAGTAAGTGTCAAATTATTGATTTTTCAGTTCCATATGATACAATAGTGAACACTAAAAGAGAAAAATACCCGGATCTGACGAGTGAGCTGAAGAAGTTATGGAACATGAATGCAGAATTAATTTCTGTAGTAATGGAAGTGCTTGGAACACTACATAGAAAACTGAAAAAGAAAGAAGAAAAAAAAAAAAAAAACGATCAGAGAGAATTGTAATTGACACTAAGATTTTAGATCTTCGAAAATTTATTGCTGATATTTTTTTTTTTTTACAAAATATTTCTGGTATTAAAATTCACTTTTACACTTTCATAGTGCTTTGACCTGTGTTAAGAGTTTTTTTTTTGCTTGTCCGATTTATGGTTAGTGGGTGAAGTGTCCATATTTTCTAAGCTATCCAGTCTATTAGTGCCTTGTTTCTTGACATATTTTGTTCTTTGAAGGTCTTTTGTTTCTGCTTGTTTGTTTGATCTTGTTTCCTTAGATTTTTCATTAGGTTCTTTTGATGACCTTTGTTTGGATGATGACCATTCCCTTGTTTGAGATGGGATAGAGTTTTGTACATCTATGTCCATATTTCTTGGTTCTTCAATGATGCACTGGGTTGTGTTATTTTTTTTTTTTTATGCACCATTTGATTCTCTTGGGAATGTTTAGAGGGTTCTATTTCTTGAAGGATTTTTCTACTTTGTATTGTGATTTTTGGAGTTGGAGGGAGAAAGAGCCAAATCAATTGACCAAAATATAAAGAGAACAAAAGAATGTTTTGACCAAATATTTTCCATTTTTTTTTAAAATTTTGTTTAAAAATATGCAATTTTGTATTGAACTATTTAACCATAGCACCATCTCAATATACAATGAGATAATAGTGTAATATGTTCAATTTTGACTCAGTTACAGATATTCCAATAAGAGTATTATGAACAAACAAATATAAAATTAATAAGTCATACTTACCACTGGATCTTTTACAATAGATAAAAGGGTAATTATATTAGTTCCTCCCCGTAGATTTTCTAAAATTTTTATCTCCCTTTTAATTTTCTTCTTTTTTACTGGCTAAAAAGAGAAAGGGGAAGACAAAACAAAAGCACTGATTAGAATAATACATATATAAACTGTACATAATTGTATAAAATAAAGCATAGTCAAATAAAAAAAATTTGTTAGATTGGAACAAAAGTTAATATTTTTTAATAGGTGTCATTTGAACAAGTGGTTTTATACAAGACTGAAATATCTAAATGGTGCAGTCACTTGAGTTTGAGGATGCCAGTCTCCTAGGGCGGTAAGCAAATCCCTGTTGCAGACCCCTGCTCAGGCACATTGTGTTTGTTCAACACCCACAGAGCCCTCCATACTACAACTATGGTGAGCGGACATTAGTTACAGTTTCTGGGAGAGTGCAAACTCAAACCCTCGGTCATGATAACTTGTGACTGTGCTGGCACAACCACCGATGACTCCCAAGGGTTTCGTCTACCCAATTTCACTCACAAAGCTTGGGTCAAACAGCGTTTTGGTTTTCAGGTACTTTCAGATTAATAAACATCAAGAAATCACCTCCCCAACAAATCAGCCATGGCAAGATTTGAACTCAGATCTCTTGGTCAGAAAGCGACATCCCCATACTGAAGAGCGGTGGGTAAGCCAAATAACTAGATATTAGAAAACAGATATGAGCGCGCTTTTTTCTTTTTTTTTTTTTAAATCAAAGTTTAAGACACACCAACTATACATACACACAAGCAAAAGAGACGCTGGGAATTTTAAAATTAAAAAAAAATTTAATATTTGTTTTAGGTATATAAGAAAATTTCATTTAGATTCCTTTTCATTAAGTTTACATCATTTTTGTTATTAAATATCACACAAAAATTCTTAAGATGTGCCCTTTAGCATGATTAGAACCAGTGTGTGCCCTTTAGCATGATTAGAACCAGTGTCCCCCTTTGCAGGAGAAATCACTGATCCCACATGCTTTGACTGCTTGGTTACAAATACCTCCACAATTGAATAAGGTCCTATTTATCTTTAAAGCACATTCACATATGATTTCCTTAAAAACCATAACTGCTCATTTTTGTATCTGGAACGTAAACAAAGCCATTTCTAAATAGTGGATTTTACTTTATTTTTTAACCAGATACCCATATTTGAGTAGATGCTCCATTTATTTTAAACAGTATTTATTTCATCTACCAGCCTGCACCATATACAAATACAGATATCCCTAAACAATACCATTTCCAAAAGGTGGCCTTTTCAATGCATCAGTTTGTATGTGGATTGCAAATTTGAAATGTTTTTCTGTTTAAAAGTGAAAATGGAAGAAAATGATGCATTTTTGTCACTTAATACCTTTTTGTCTTCAAAAATAACACACTTGAATAAGAAGAAGCAGCAGCAGCAAAAGACGAGGAGGAGGAAGCAGAAGAAGAAGACGAGGAGGAGGAGGAGGAAGCAGAAGAAGACGACGAGGCAGCAACAGAAGAAGAAATGCCATTTATGGAGGTGTTCCGAATATTGTTTAGAGGTTGTTAAACTAGATTTAGAAATGGAAATCTTGATTTGGAAGACTGGGAACATTTCAGCAGGCCTGCAAGTCTTTGATGATGACCAAATCAAAAGTCAAAATTATGATTTAAAAATAATCCAGGTGACACAACAGTACATAGCAAAGATACTTCACAAATCTCATGAGTGTTTAAGATATATGAAACACTATATTTGTGAACTTCACAATTCCATTTGCAATTATCTGCTCAAATGAAACAAAAATGACACATTTTTGAAAAGAACTCTCACAGGGAGCCAAAAAAAAAAAAAAAAAAGTATGTTTACAACAAATTGGAGCCAAATATTTCCTGAATGAAATGAACTACCCCAAAGCCAATCTGCATCCAAAGAAGGCAATGCTGTGTATCTGGTAAGTTTAGAAAGGCATTGTACATAATGCCTTTCTAAACTCATAATCAGATGTTGAATTCAGATATGTACTGTTTCCATCCAGATGGACTAATTAAAAGCCAACAATCAATGAAAAGCATCTGGAACTGGCCAATCAAAACAAGTGTGGCCTTCCATCAAGACAATGCTAGATATTATTTCTTATTGCAGAACTGTCAGATATTGGTGCAGCTTGGTTGGGATGACCTACTGCACTCATTGTATTCACCTGACCATGAACCTTACTATAATCTCTATAAAATTCTAAGCAAGAAAAACTTCAATTCTCTGAATTCCTGTAAGAACTACTTGACCAGTTTGACCACCCAGAAAGATGCCAAGTTTTGAGAGGATGGAACCATGAAGTTGTGTTGGAGGGTGAAAGGTAAAACAAAATGACACATATGTTGTTGAATAAATCTATATACAAATATCTAAATATCGTTCTTTGAGAAAAAAAAAATACAATCTTGTTTCGATTCAATATATTAAACTTTGTAAATTGCTAATTAATTCTAAATTAGCACAAAAATACACTAATTTAAATAATGCAACATTCTGGAATAGTTAGCATTTCATTAATATTCTACATTTTTAGAAATTAGTCATCTAATCAAGTTATTTCTATTTCATATTTATATATAAAGAAATTGAAAATCCATAAGTTTGTATGGTCTGAAAATTATTTTACAAAAAAAAATAAACCCAGTTATTTTTTATAACTTATATATTTCAAGAAACTAATTACAAAGATTTTAACTAACAAACCTTAATTTCAGTTACTGTTATCCTAAAACTATCAACTTCAATTTTATCAAAATAAGTGCAGCTGTTTTGAAATAAAAGTCACAAATGTGATGACAATAGTATAGATAACATGTAACATAAAAATGTCACCTTGCCAATATAAATGAATATATTCTTAAGGAATTATCTTTCTCAAAAATACGCCTACATCTAAGTTTCTCAGTTACATTTATCAAGTCTCAATTACTGGTTATTGAATTTTTGTTTAATCCAATTTGTTTTTCAGCATAAAAGAGTTAATTATACATAAAGAAAAAAGTTAGTGTGTTAAATTAGGCATCTCCTGTCTGATAATACAACACAATTTTAGATCCATTAAACTTGCAGAAAAAAAAATATTTCAATCCTAACACTATTAGAACAGATTTTGAGAATACAAATTCAAGCCATTTTTGATAATTATCTAATACTGACATTCATAATTTTATATTAGTTTAGACAGCTATATAATGACACAGACAAAGTATTATCTTCAGCTGTCATTACTTACGACTTGTAAAACAAGTGAGAACATCAAAAATTAAATGCTAAGATTCTGCAGGTAGTTGAGATAACATGGTAGAACCTGCAAATTCAGCTAACAGCAAAAGTGGTGAGAATTTCTACAAGTTGGCATCTCTAACATTGAATCAAGTTAGATAATATTAACAATGAACATAAAAATATTGATTTAAAAAAGTCAATCGACTTAGTTCAAACAATTTTTATACAGCAAAATTTCTCTAATTTTATTTCTGCAACAGAAATAAAATTAAATGTAATTTTTATTTCTCTTGCAGGTATTAATATCAAATTTACTAAGACTATGCATTTTATAAAATGACAGTTCAATAATATCAGTCATTTAATTAAAAAAAAAAAAAAAAAAAAAAAAAAAAAATGATTATTCTATCATTTTTAATACTATCCTTTCAATAATACTACAGCATCATAAACATTTTAAATAGGTACCTCCATGAGATCGCTAAAAAAAGAGCATACCATGAATAAAAAAGGCCTTAAATTTGATTAAAATAATTTTTTATCGTATAAATGTTAATGTTATTATCAAGAGGAATGATCAAAGTATTTTTTGAATATTTTTTTTAATTTTTTAATAATTTCTAGCACGTCCAAAATTTTTGTTAAAAATCTTCAATTTTTTTGAATCGGAAAAAAAAATCGACAGAAGATCGATAATCTCCCGTTGTTTTTGACGTTTGTTTACAAAAGTGAATGTTGCCATTTAAAATTAATTTAAAAAATCAATTATGATTTTTTTAAACTAATTTTAAAAAAATTAGAAATTAGAAAGTTTATTTAGTATATTTTGAAACAAAGATTGCTTATTTTCTGTGATGAAAACATGTTTTTTTCAAATGGGAGAAAGCCGATCTGAACTGCGGTGTTGATTGACAAATGACAAGTGCGTGTTTTTCATCACGCACTGACATATTACGTGCGGAAATTTATAGTACGGAAGGTCGTAAGTGACAATTTATCTTTACGTTAACTTATTTACCTCGTTATTTTTAAGTAGTCATAGCATAAAAAAACGGACTTAAACTTGACGAAATCAGAATTTTATTACCAAAATGTTTATGTTACTATTAAGGGGAGAGAACAAAGTAATTTTTCATTATTTTTAAATAATTTTCTGTCTTTATTAGAACGTTTTAACTTTTGATTGAAAAATCTCGTTTCTCGTCATCACCGGAACTTTAGTAAATAACATGGCAAATTTTTTGTTCATTTTTTTCTTATGACACACATTAATTTTGAAAATCTTGCAAAAATAGAAATAATTGTCAGATTTTAAAGAAACTTTCAGGAATGATGGAAATTATTATAAATTTTTTAAAGTAATTTTATATAAATATAAAGGCCGTTAACAGTGCCGTACAAATCAAGTCACATGATGTTTTTATTGGATCATGTTTCTTCCGGGCCTCCGTACATTTGATTTAAGATTTTTTTTTTCTACACATAGGTTAAAGGACAGTAAGATTATTCTCATTGCTGTTTCGTTGATTGTAAAAACCTTGTACTATTTATAATCTGTACAGATATAGGTACCTAAATATAGCATTATATACAGGATTCGTCAGTACCGCTAATTTTAGAATATTTAACAACTTTTAGTAACTTTATGTAAAAATAATAAAATAATTTATTAAATAACAATTAATTCATTTAAAAATTCATTTTTCATCAAAAAAGTTTTTTGCCTTCAGACAATATTATGCATATTGATAAAAACAAATAAAAGCAACTAGAAGCAACTAAAAGCATTTAAAATTAAATAGTATTTTTGTTTTATTGGG